CGGTGGATGCTATTCTCGGCTCCGGTCGGCTAGTTGCTCTCGCTGGTTTGTTTGGGGCCCGGGTTCGATGTGTCTTTCTTGGTGGTCCTGAAGGTGTAGCCTTTGGGATGAGGAGCATGTTGCGATCCGAAGATAGTTAGCCGTCAGATTTGAAGGGAGTTTCTAGATCTGGATTTGTTCCTTGCTCTACCGCTAATTCGATTTGGTGGTCTGGCCGGTGGAAAGGGTTGTCTTCTTTATTGCGTTTATCTTTTTTATTGCATTTGTAGTTTTTGTGTGTTCCGTGTGTTTCGTGTTTGTGTGTTTTGTTTGTTGTGTTTGTTTAAGTGTCGATTCTCTTGTTGGGAGTCGAGATTATTCTCCTGTTGGGAGTAGGTTTTTTCTCATGTTGGGAGATTTTTCTTTGTGTTATTGTGGGTGAGTTTAGTGTGTTGTGTTTAGGTTGGTTTTAGGCTACCTCGGTTTGTTGCCTTTGGGGTTAGCCCTTCCAACTAGATTCAGCTGAATAGCTGGTTTATTTGGTTGTTTAGCTGCTCTATAGTGTGTACTTATGTGTTTTCTTCTATGGAAAGTCTATAATTTGAAAAAAAAATCTTATTTATCAACTTTAATAACAAATCATGGTGATTTCTTATTCATTCGATAACCAATCGTATACCAAAATATTTTTGATCGTATCTTCAAAAAATCATTTAATTGATAGGATTAGTTTATAATCCTTTGATTTATCAATTCCAGATTTTCAAAAATTATAAACTCAATTTTCTAAAATATCAAAACAAATTCAACTATTTATCTTTAATAACAAGTCAATCTCCATCCTTAATAACAAATCATGCGTTCTCCTGTTTTGTTGGGTATCCAACCATATGTAGATCGAAATATGCATCAGAACATTGCAAATATAAGTACAAAAAAGATTAGAAGTCAATTGCAACAATTTTATTGATATAATTACCACAATATTATAATAAAATAGATATATCAACATTAATAACATATGTACCAATAAGAGAATATAAAATGAGAGAAGTAATATGTGAGTACTATTCATTGATAATATTTAAATATGTAAAATTTTTCATTATCATTAATTATTAATATAATCTAAAATGACTACTATTTTATAACAAGTTAAATAAACATCTAAATCATGTATTAAATTATTATATATCATAAAATAAAACAAATACTAATAAAATATTTTTATACTAATCAATATTTTTTCATTGCTTTAATACATGCATTGGAATTATTGTCACGTGTATCTCACTGGCTACGTACTGAGTGATGTGTAAAAATAATAATTCAAATATTATTTAATTATATTAATAATATTAGAGAGAACGTGATTGAGTTAATATATCATTGAGTCCCAAAATATAAAAATATTTTTTTTATCGATATAGAGAAAAATCACAACAAATCTATACTTATATAAAAAGCCATCATATTTACTAGAATTAGTAGTAAGAAAAGTCAAAGGTAATTAATGCATTCTATTTCCATCAAGTATTTTATTTAATTGTTTTATCCCATTAAATTTGTTTATTCATTTTATTTTATTCAATTAAGGTTTATTCATTCCATTTTATCTTAGTTCCATATAATCATATCCCCCTCCCCCTATATATTAATCCAGAATGCGCTGAGCCTACGTGGCTGCTTCTGGTGCTTTGGAATCATATGTGGCAAAATTACATGCTTCGTTATTAGGCTTGGGTAAATTTTAATTTAATTTCAAACCAAAAATAATTAGGTTCGGATTACCATAAATATGTTGATTATTTATGGTCATGTTACATGTATTAATTGTATTTTAATATCTTTCCTTATTATAACTATTTAATTGTATATATATTTTAAAAGTTAATAACTTTTGTATTTTTTTATCAGTTTTACATATGTGATATATCAAATTAATTTTCTTTTGATGAGCTTCGATTTAACATCCATATTGTATGTATAAAAAAATAATTTATATTTTTTTTATAACAATAATAAAATTATTTTTAATATTAATTAGAAAAATGAAATTATTTATCAACTAATATATTTATATTTCAAGTAGTTATATGATATAAGTTATAAAAATTAATATAATATAACACATGTAAGTCATAAATAACACATATCATTCTAAAATATATAGTAATATATTTTTTGTAGTAAAAAAGTAAACTAAATTTAATATAGTTTTCTCATTAATTTTAAAATTTAAAATAATTTTTTAACAAGCACCCGTGTAATACACGGGTGTTGTACTAGTTCCTAATAAACATTAAATTTGCTTATATAATTTTAAATTATTTACATAAATAAATAATACTAATATAAATATTTATCATTAGACAAAAAATAAAATTACTTCTATAAGTGTTATAAATAATAATAACATTATGCGACAATAAAGTATGTAAAATTATTATTTTTTCTGTACAAAAAAATGAATATATATGTAAAAATATTATTTAATATTAATATAAACGGGTCAAACGGGCTAATATATTGTTAAAATAAAATTTTAAAAAAAAATATAAAATACGAAACCCTCGTGCATCGCACGAGATTCTCACTAGTCGAACGAAGGAGAGTACATACACATGTATTATTACCACTGTTCTAAAAGTCGGCCTAGGCGGCCGCCTAGGCGGCGCCTAGGCGCTAGGCGGTGCCCGGGCGCCTCCGATTTGCACAAATCGGCCAAAAAAATCGGCCAGGCGGCTAGGCGGGCCTAGGCGCTCTTAGGCGGCCTAGGCGGGCTCAGCGGCCAGGCGGTTAGGCGGCGCCTAGGCGGGCGTAGGCGGACCTAGGCGCTCCTAGGCGGGCTCGGCGGCAATTTTTCAGTTTTTTTTTTTTTAAATACTAATTACATTATTTTGTTCTCATGTTTTCTTTAAAATATATTAATATTATTATTTGGACTTAGGTGTGTCGATTTATTATAAGTTGAGATACTTTTATTTTGTTAGTAGTTAAATAAATAAAAAATAAGGTATTTAATATTGATTTCTAGGCCCCGACTAGGCCCCGCCTAGGCGCTCTAGGCGCTAGGCGCTGGTCGAGCGCCTAGCGGGCGCCTAGCGACTTTTAGAACACTGATTATTACATGAATCATTAAGATAAAAAAAAAAGAACGATTTATAATCAAAGTTTATTTAATTGCACATAAAATCTGCAAAAATTTTAAAAAAAATATAAAATACGAAACCCCCGTGCATCGCACGAGATTCTTACTAGTCGAACAGAGAGTACATACACATGTATTATTACATTACATGAATCATTAAGATAAAAAAAAAAAAAAGAACGATTTATAATCGAAGTTTATTTAATTGCACATAAAATCTGCACCACCGGCAGCACTGCCATAAAATCAAGCTTCTCGAAATCCGTAGCCGCACCACAACCCAAACATCCATTTTCATATATAATCCCTTAGAGCATCCACAATGCTTTGGGTCTCTTTTTGCATATGTGGCAAATAAATAGACTTAAGTCCATAATGACATGGACAAACCTAAACTAAAAAAACCAAAATCTATCCAATGCAAAACCAAAAAGTACTAGGTCTAGAATACATGACAACCAATAAAAATGCTCTAGTATATTTCATTTATTAAAAGAAAAATTAAATGAGGAATAAATGATGAGTGCTTGGGTTTGTACTTGGGTCTAAAATAGACCCAAGTGTGGACTAGGTCTCATTTTTTTATTGCCACATAAGCTAGACTAGTTCCACTTTTAATTGCATTGGAGAATACTTTTTTTATAGACTAGGTCTATTCCTTACATGACATGTAACTTTTTTCTAAGAAACCCAAAGCATTGTGGGTGCTCTTATAAATAAATACGAGCACTCTCTGTCGTCTATCCCGCGTGTAGGGATACTCATATAGCTCACGGGTACAGCTTTTCTCTCTCTCTCCCTCCTCAAAATCCGAAAAAAGCTCACAAAGGTGAGAGCCACATTCTCGTTGTTCAGCTGCGCTTTTTTTTTTTTTTTTTTTTTTT